GAACTTGCGGAAATCACCTAGGAGGACGAGCTCTTTCAAAAGAAATAATGAGACGAGGATATTATTGGCTAGCAATGAATGAAGATGCTTCCGATTATGTTAAAAGGTGTGAAAAATGTCAAAACTTTGCACCTATTCTGAACCGGCCACCAAATGATTTGACGCCGATATTAAATCCAGTGCCGTTTGCGCAGTGGGGGATGGATATAGTTGGTCCCTTTCCGTCAGCAACTGGAAATCGAAAGTTCCTAGTGGTGGGTGTAGATTACTTCACCAAATGGATCGAAGCAGAACCGGTAACAACAATATCGGCGGCAGAAGTTAGAAAGTTCATTTGGAAAAATATCTTTACAAGATTTGGCCTTCCGAGAGCAATGGTTTTTTTTATCACGGATCACAGTTTGACTGCAAGCCCGTAAAAACTTTGTTAACAATTTACAAAGTCAAATTTGCATATGCGGCAGTTTGTCATCCGCAATCGAACGGCCAAGCAGAAGCAGCTAATAAGCAGATAGTAATGGAAATAAAGAAAAAGATCAAAGATGCCAAAGGGTTATGGGCAGATTTGATTGCAGAGATCTTATGGGCAAATAGAACAACAGTTAAAGAAGCAACAGCAGAATCCCCTTTCCACTTAGTTTTCGGAACAGAAGCCGTTATACCAGCCGAGGTCGGTCTGCCGACATTTAGAATACAGCATTACTGTGAAGAGCAAAATGATCTACTATTGCGACAACAGTTAGACTTTTTGCCAGAAGTAAGGGAAAAAGCGGCAGTTAAATCGGCCGCATACAAAAACAGAATGTCAAGAGCTTATAATAAGAAGGTTAATCATCGGACATTAGAGGTCGGAGATTTAGTATTGAGACGAACATCAGCAACAGGAAAGGGTAATGAAGATGGAAAGTTAACGGCTACCTGGGAAGGTCCATATCGAATAAGAGACATGGTTATGCAAGGATCATTTTATCTGGAAAATGAAGACGGAAAGCCGCTGAAGAATGTCTGGAATACTGCAGTTCTTAAGAAATATTATGTATAATATAAAAGTACAATCGAAGTATTTTGTATGATAATAGTAATAAATAAAATCAAAAACAATGATCTACTCTACAATTTGAGTTTAAAGACATCCTCCAATTAACAGATCACCGTTAATTGGGATGGACAGCTAAAAACCACTTACGTGATGATAACGCTCTCACAACCTGATCAGTTGTGTTCGTTAAATCACGAGGTTGTTGGTTCAATATAATATCCCGGCCAAATCACTATATAGTATGCGCCGATATGAGGCGCAGCTAGAACATGATAGTCGATAAGGGTACTTGCAAAACTATTATATAGTTGCACAAGTGACCGATGAGTTATAAAACAAACTACCGCCGTATGTATAAAAAAAAATTGTGAAAGTACATACATCATGAAAATGATGTCTGCACTATGCGGGGAAGAATGAGGGGCTATACTATGCCCGATATAAACCTGATATTACAGCTTTAATGGGGGGCTATGTCGGTATCATTATACTTATAAGTATAATGGACGAATTATTTAAAGTAAATTGATTCCGAAATGAGTGATTAAAAGCAATAGAAATTAAATAGAAGTTAAAACTAACACAGTTATAGTGTTTACGAGAATCACATAACAGGTATACAAACATAACATCGTGAAAGAAGCAATTCTTTGGCAAAGCTAAAATAGAGATTGACAGACATCACCGCAAAAAGGTATATGCCGATAAAACAGCATTGTCAAAAGAAAGTTTTCTAAAAAGTACATAATCAAAAAAGAAATTACAATGAGTAAGGCCCGATAATACAAAGCCACAAGATGATGATGGTGATGGCTGCCCGCCCCTTTAAGCTTCCGGAGAATCCAAAATCTTAGGATCAGAAACACCGATATCATCAGAAGGAGCAAGGTTAAAGATATCTGCGTCTGAGAACTCTTGTTGCTCAAAACCAGAAGGTGTCTTGTGAGCATCATTATTAAATGCTGCTTCAATCTTAGCCCAGTCTTCTTGTTTTAGGCCGATAGCATGAGCAACACACCTCTGAGTAGCAGTCCAACCACCATCAAAACGATCTTGTAATTTACTACAAAACTCAGCCGATGACAAATAACGGCTAACCGCTCTTTGCCGTATACCAGGTTTATCGGCCTCTATTTTTTGCAGCTGACCTTCTAAGCTGCTGATTGTTGTTTTATCTTTAGAAAGATCACTCTGTGCAATGGAAAGTTGATCCTTTATAGCGTTCTTATCTTCAAGCTGAGATTTAAGATCTTTTATCTCCTCTTCAAGATTTTTCATGTTTTCAACTTTCTTGCGCAGAGTAGCCAATTCGGCATCATCTTTTGCCTTTATCACCTTAGTTCCATCAAGAGCCTTTTTGGCATTCTTCAAAGCTGTCTCCAGAGATTGTTGGTTAGACGTGTTCAGATGATACTTATCTTGATAAAACCTATACATCTCAACCAACTCTGTTCCAGAAGCAACTGCCTATAAACAAGTACAATGTAGAAGAAATAAGCCAGGTGTTTTAAAAAAAAATGGATTATAACAGCATACCCTCATTAGATCATGCATGTGTTGAGCTGCAACTGGGTCGATTTGTCCAGACGGCCTATCAACAGGAGTTGAAACATTTCGTAACAGCCAATATCCCAGATTTCCACCTCGAAGTGGATCATCAGTGAAAATGGACTCATTGCGGAAGACGTCCATTTCAGGCCGCCATTGGTCGCGAGAACGGCCCTCAGGAGCCCTTACTCTATTTAGAACCTCATCAGGAATTTTTCCTTCAACATGTTCGATCCACTGTTCGCCCCGATAAGTGATACCGGGAGCACTTACGTCAGAAATAACAGGACCAACCTGTTGAGGTTCAGCAGAAATGGGAACGGTTTCCTAATATACAATGAGTTAGTAAAAAATAATAAAAATAATGATAACAGTATAATAATAATTTTATTTTCGGCCGTTATAACAAGTAAATTTTTATATACCAAATCCATTACATGTTGAGAAATAGGAGACGCAGTCAAGTCTTCAAACACCTTATCGGCGTTTTCGGGAGCAGAAGTTCTAGGTGGCGATGGAGCCTTTGGCTGTTCAGTGTCGGTCTTTGACCGCTTTGATTCCGGCTCATCTTCCTTCCTTGTAGAAATAGAAGGAACGCTACCACCGCGTCTGTTAGCCAGCGAGGTCAGACGCCGATTTCTCCTCACATTCTCGTCAGCCATCTCTTCTTCTCTTCTTTTAGGATTACGTGTAGGGGCACGCGAGCAGAAAGAAGTGAAGGTTTCTAATGCCGGTCTCGGAGATGGAGGACAACGGAACAACACTCTTCTGCCGTCAGATGATAAGCCGAGGGCTGTCTTGTCCAACTTGTGCGGGCCTACATATCAAAGATTATCAACAAGTATAAACCATTAAAAACCATATCTACATAAGTAATACAAACAAAAGTACTATATTAATGCGTAAATACTGACAATGTAAAAGATAACAATAATTTATAAGGTTAGTACCATAATTGTTAGTCCGACATAAACCGATATAAGATAGTGGTGCGTTGTTCAAAATGTACTTTACATTTGGCAGCCACACTTTCGGAACAACACGAGTTTTTCCATCAATATTGACCCTAACGACATCAAAGTAATCACAGGCCTTCTGTTCTTGAGGGCCAAGCTCTCTTTCAGCAATATGGTCGAAACGAGGATGAGGCCGAAAGAAAGTTCTCCTGATAGGAAAATCTTCCGGGACACTCATGAAAAAGAACTTATCCTGCCAACCTTTACAGATTGACAGCTTAGGGTTTACGGTAGAGGCTGTATACAACGACCACCAACCCTCAGATTGTCCGTCACGTTTCAAAGTTATTAACCTCCTAAACAAATTCAAGGTTAACGGAAAATTTTTATATATCAACACCCAAACCAGGGAAATGACAGCGCGAATAGTAGGAGGAGTAACTTGTACCAGGCATACATTCCATGCCTTAAAAATTTTAGCAATAAAAGGATGGAGAGGAAATCGGAGGCCGAATTCAAAGTGTTTAGCATAAACGACGATATGACCATCAGGACAATCAAGAACAGTGGCAGAAGGTGGTGGGAGTATTAACTCATACCCATCCGGCAAACCGTAAAATCTTTTTGCCTTACGGAAATACTCTTTTTCTTCGGCTAATTTCAACCAAACCTTGCTAACACTAGCTTCAGCGACCTTACTGTTAGAAGGTAAGATAAGAGGTTGTCGGAAATCAGCCTCATCAGTTTCAGACTCATACTCCTCATCTAAACTTTCTTCAAGAGTAACTTGAGCCATTATATCAATCATTTCGGCTCTCTCAGGGCTTTCAGCTTTGCCACCTTGATTTACTTCTTCATCGCTATCATCATCATCATTTAATACAGATTTGATAGCGGAATCATGAACAGGAGATTTCGAATCTCTTTCAGACTCGGAGCTAGAGGAGCTTATAACTTGTGCTTGGCCAGGCCTTTTACTCGTCTCAGGCCTAGAGCTTGGTTCAGCCTCAGCGGTCTGAGATGGGTTATCAGTCGGCCTAGATCTCGGCATATCAGAGGTTCTGATGTTAATATTTCCGACGTTACTTCCGTATTGATTAAAATCAAGTTTATCGGCAAAACTCCGCAAATGATACCGGATGCTAACAGGTTCAATTTGAAGAACCTCAACCTCCTCGGGAATGTTAGGGTTTGTAGGGCGTCGTGCCTTTTCACAATCCGCTAGTATTTTATGGCGATAAAAAGCCTCCTTTTGCTCTATCTCTGATAACGGCTGAAAAGAATCGTCAATATTATCAGACAAAGACGAAACTCCACTTTGCTTATGGCCGAGATCTTTTCCCAAAGACTGCCTAATAAGACGCCGCCTAACAGTACTAAGGGGGGTTTGTTCTTCAGAATTATTATTGGACATTTAATAAACCAACTAAAAATTAAAAAAAATGGGTAAACAGTGAATGTATTCCAATGCATGCAAATTGAAATTGAAATCTTTAAAATACCTTCAGCTACTTGATGGCAACGACGACGCAAAGAAGAAAATATCAGATGCTTCAGTAATGCGAAAAATCTAGCAAGACCCAATTGCGGTTATCCCAAAGCCTTCTCCGCTAAAATTCGCAACTTTTAGTGAATGAAGTGTGAAAATGTGAAAAGTAAAAAAAAAAAAAAAGAAAGAAGTTAAAAAGGAAGTTGAAAAGGTGACGTTTGATACGACACCTAGTCAGAAATCTAACGGTTAGCATAAATAGTTAATTTAAAAAATAAATCGTTAGATCATCAACACGTGTCCTCTACTTTATATAATTTTCCCGCTTAAAATTTAAAACCATTTTAATTAAAGTAAACCTTGTTTGCTAACGGCAAACAAGGTTACTTGGGGGAAAAACGAAGTTTTTTCGCTCCCAGCCTAAATATAGTTAAAGTAAACCTTGTTTGCTAACGGCAAACAAGGTTACTTGGGAGAAAAAACGAAGTTTTTTCGCTCCCAGCTTAAATATAGCTTAAGTAAACCTTGTTTGCTAACGGCAAACAAGGTTACTTGGGGGGAAAACGAAGTTTTTTCGCTCCCAGCTTGAATATATTTAAAGTAAACCTTGTTTGCTAACGGCAAACAAGGTTACTTGGGGGGACAAACGAAGTTTTTTCGCTCCCAGCCTAAATATAATAATAAGTGATCACGTTAGATCATCTGATCGAACGTCCTCACTTGGGGGGCTAGTTGTATGGGAAATATCTACATAACGGAAATCATAATGGGCCGATATTAGTTGTATGGGGAAATGTCTACATAACGGAAATCATAATGGGCCGATTTTAGTTGTATGGGGAAATGTCTACATAACGGAAATCATAATGGGCCGATATTAGTTGTATGGGGAAATGTCTACATAACGGAAATCATAATGGGCCGATATGGTTGGACATACCGACATACTGTTTGAATTCGATCCATAAATGGCCTTTGTTAATATCGGCGTTCCTATAAAGTAGACATATCAGCATATAGGTAGCTGCCACGTGTCGCGCTCATAATTGACACGTGGCAGAAATTACATTACTTATTAGACTGCCATCTGTCACCTAGTAAACATATAAATAATCCGATTTTACTTCATAAACAAGGTAGCATTTTATATACTTTCTCTCTCTCTCTTTCACTACTTTCTCTCTCAAAATCACTTCTCTTCTATAAACACTTACTGATTTAATCTTTGGAGTGGTTATCCCCGGATTCACCCCGGGGCTAGCTCATCTCTTCTCTTTGTGTAGGTTCTTATTTGGCCGATAGGAGCAGAACGGAGGAGGTGGTTCTTGGGTTGTGGAGATGGAGAAGAAGGAAGTGCTTTATCTAAGATGTACGAAGAGAAACTTGTTATTGGGTGAGTTCTTCTGAACTTTTTACATATGATTTTTATGCAATTTAAATTAGTTAGAAGATGCCCTATCCAATTTTGCTTTGATTTGATACAATAATTTGGTTGAAATTTGTTGTACGATAAGCATATATGTTAAAGAGGAATAAGATGATGTCTTCCTGATGAATCAAGTCTTCTTGTTAAGAATCTTAAGTCATGATGATATGTATACTGCTGAATAAATGGGTTGAGTTGATAATGAAGGTTGTGATGATTAGCAGGTGTGAAGATCAGTTATAGGTTGTAAAACATTTACGAAGTATAATTTAGAGCTTGGTAATGCATGAAACTTGTGACTTTGTTAAAAATCATTCACTACTGTCTCCCCTGGCCTAGTCTATTTCATTGCCCATATTTTAGCTCTTATTTTGGATCAAGAAACTGTAATATTGACAACTGTTCACTGTTCAGTAACAACACTTCCCACTTAGAGGAATAATGTCTAAACAGCTCTATGATGTTTGGAGGGATGAAGCATGAGACTTAAAATTTTCTTTATAAACAGGTATTCCCCTGAACAGCTGTTTGATGTTGTTGCAGCTGTAGATTTGTATGAAGATTTTTTACCTAGGTGTCAAAGATCACCACCCTGATGGATCGTTCGATGCGGAATTAGAGATAGGTTTTAAATTTCTGGTTGAGAGTTACATTTCACATGTGGTTTTAGACAAGCCAAAGTTTATTAAGGTACGATTTTCATTGCATCAAACCTCAATATATTATAATCTTGTCTGATTTTGTTATGATTAAGTAATTGACAGTGAAAATGCAATTTTACATGCATCCTGAAAGACTCGATTTTATACATTTTATAATCAGTCTATATATGCTGTCCTTGTTTTGTTCACTATCTACGACACTACATGTAACTATGTAAGATTGTGGACATATTTATTGAGGAATTCAGCGATGTTGGTTCTAAGAGAACTTTTGTTCACTATCTACGACAGTACATGTAAGGGTAGCCGTGGACAAATGTAGTAAAAAATTTATGAATTGTTGCTTCTAAGAGAACATATCAGGGAGAGGGGTATAAGACCGGGGGTTGTCTAATTATTTATTTTTCTTTGAAATATGTAGTTATTGCTTGAATCATCAACACCCTACCCAAGCCTAAATTTAATTTATACTGAATGTTTGAAAGAAAAGGGGTCAGTGACATCTATAGGAAGAAAAAGCTTGTCAGACCAAATTGAAGGCTCCGAACGTTATGTATTTGAAGAGTAGTACTTATAAATGAGGGAGAAAAGTAATTTAGCCCTCATTTTCAAGGGAAAATAAGTGCAAGCAACTTGTTCCTCTTTGTGTCATTAATCAATACTATATTCCTTGCAAAAATCTTGTTTTTTCATGGCTTAAATTGTTAGGTAGTTGTATTAGGTTTAGATAGTTGTAAACTTGTATTTCTTTTAAATGAAGACTTTGTTGCCTTTTGACTAATACAAGTAGGTACTTGTATCTCTACTTTTGTTAATGGTTTTGTCAGAGCACTGTATCTGAAAGCAACCTTTTTGAACACTTGATCAACATATGGGAATTTAGACCAGGACCAAGTCCGGAAACCTGTAACCTTTACTTCTTGGTTGATTACAAGTTCCGTTCACCACTTTACCGGCAGGTAACGCACCTTCTATGATTTTGTCTTGTGTCAAACTTATTATCTACCTCATTTTAGCTCTAAGAATAAGTAGAATATTTAACATCTTAACTATAGCAAGAGACCTCTGATGTTCTGCGGTTTTACCTATATGTCACTGTATTATTTTGATTAGATGAATACATGCTGTTTACTCCCTCGCATGGATGATGGCTTCCTCCGTGCAGGTGTCATCAATGTTCTTCCGAGAGGTGGTATCTCGATTGGTCAGTTCGTTTACTGATCGATGCCTTTTGTTATATGGTCCAGGGGCAATCATCGAGCAAAGGGTTTAGCTCATCTCTAGAAGATAGTTGCATTAAGTGAAACTTTTTGATAGCTTAATGCATGAAACAAAGTCGTTACTAATGCCTAATATTTAGGATCTAACAAAGAGGTTCACTCGATCATCATAATACAAGAATGGAAAGGCATTCCTTCCAAACGCTAAGTGGTTATCGTGATTATATAACATTAGTCATTCCCACGTAAAGTTTGCATTTCGTCACGCTACATCTTTACACAAACAAAACCCTCCTACCCTCCATTGAATGTATAACGTCCGTCCCTTAAAATTGACATTTTTCCTTTTAAGTCAGATATAAAATTGACACATTTTCGATAATAAAAAAAAAATAGAAAGGGAGACAGTCACACGTTCAAATATTGGTAGGAACTTGTTGCGTTGATTGCAGTAGCACCACTCGTAGACCATAAACAAGTACTAGAAGGTCACATGGGAAACTGGGGGCCGCCAATCTGGTAGATTTGAGTATATGTCACTCCTTTTGGCTTGGAAAAGTCAAACAACTCCATCAAATCTAATCTCTTTTTAATCTTAAACAAATTCAGCTACTAAAAGTTCCAACATTCTATATTACAATACTAATTTAATTACCAACTACAGGATCTTGTTAATATTATAATCATAGAGATTAGAAGATAATCACTTTCAGTGCTGTTCCATCAATAAAAAAATTTGTGCATAAAAAATGGCTAGTTGTTTCGATTTGACGATTAAAATATTGCACGCTAACAATTAGTAGAACGGATGTCAGTTACTTCCACAACTAGTAACGATTGATAGGCATTATTTGGAGTAGATGTCAAATATTTTACTAATTATCCCGTATTAGCTGTTACGCCTGTTAGTTGATCCATTTTTATCCTTTTCTTACATTATAATGCTCATTTAGCTTCAAAATGAATATTACCATCATTAACCATATTTCTTTATGCTTGTTTCATTTGGGATATTCCATTTGAAGAGAGAAAATTTCGACCATGATTATTCATAAATATAAATGTAAAATAGAAAAAGCCAAAAAAAAATCTATCTCAATGTATTGTTTAAAAAAAATAATAAAAAAAATCCATAATTTACAATTATACTACTACATAGTAGATTTATTTTTATATATATATTTTTTTTGATGGAGTAGATTTTTTTTTTTTTTTTTTTTGTACACAATTGATGGAGTAGAATATATTGTTGCTTATATACTCATTGTAAAGAAATTAAGATAATAAAACAAGCATTAAAATGGATGAAGTAATTTTCAACATGCATCTAGTAACCTAGTCTAGATTGATGGCCCATATTACCTAGGATCCTAGCAATTCATTTTTTTTGGTGAATTAAAATATCATATGACATAAAGTTAAGAAGTGGTATAATTTGGGGAATTAAATGACTTGACGTGAAAACAAACGATGATCATAGAGATAAAAGATTCCACACAGTTATAGTGAATGTTAAATCTATTTTTAATTCTTTGTCGTTTTCTTTTAATTGTTTTTACCGGATAATAACACTCACTAAATTACTAATCATCATAGGATATTGAAAATTACAAGGATAAGAATATTCAAATTCCCACTTGTATCTATCTTTCATAATACTACTACAGTACATTATTCTACCTCTGTTAATTTAATTAATAATTCCCCTGCAAAATTACTGGACCACGTCAACTACAAAAGTTTAGTCCAGCTGGACAGTTGACTGGTCTTAGTTAGTCAAATGGTACAGTACTATGATAGTTTTTGCTTGATTTATTTAGTTTTTAAGCTAAGTTTGCTTAATTAAGAGATGGAATTAAGCAATCAAGATACTAATAGCAACTAAAATCCATGTACTTGAGTTTGAAGGGAATCATATTCCTTGGTTGTTCCAAAGGAGCTAACTGATTTAAGCATATATTAACACCTAATACGATTGTCGTATTGTAATTGCCAATGTAATTGTCAATCGACACTAGCATTCTTGTAAACTTGTGCGTGGTGTTTCTTAATAAAAAGTTAAATTTAAACCCATAAATATATATATATATATATATATATATATATAAATTTTTCTTAAAGCATTCAATAAAGAGACTGGTCATGATAGATTTGGTTAGCCTACTATGTGGTTTAAATGACTACAAGTCTACATAACAATGGACGTTGTTACAAACTTGATCAACCTTCTCTTTGGTAGTTTGGTATTAATGTCAACTTCAGAACAATACCAAGTTAACTTCATTTTCAAGGAGTACTTTTAATTATCTTGTAGTTTTGGTTGCTTTCAGAGTTACGCCACTAAACGTGTCAATTGCATCATAGCTTAATGTCAGAGGTATATACTGCCATTTACATATACTATCATGCCTCAATTCTAATTATAGATATTAACAATTAAAAAAATAAATACTCCGTAATTTGGGAATCATGAAATTAAGTATTCCATGCACATATTAGGTTAATTTAGTAACAAGATTAAAACTTTGTATATTATTCTTCTAACATAAAGTTGGGTTAACCACTTGAGCTTCCCTCAGTCTTATTGTTTAACTATTATGAAATGGATCGAAGGACATTTAAGTTATACGGAGTAGCAATTGTCGATCACAATCAACAACCATACATAATTAGCTAATCATATTTTCGTGTGTTTGTTATTTCTTTTGATAAATTAGATTACATTCTTAAGAGAAGACTTTTTAAATTTCGTGTACCTTTTTTTTCTGAAAAAATAAAATAAAAATACTACTGAATCCTTTGTGTATAATGCGCATTTGCTTACCTTCCAATTGCAAAATCAATTGTAGAGATGATAGATGATTCCACTAACCTAATGCGTATGGATCTAAAAATAGATGATTCCACTAACCTAATGAGTAAAAGTTCTTGTTATATACTGCATTAATTTTTAAAAATCACAAATTTTGGTATACATGACAACATAGTGAACATACATAGTAGTGGGTGTCTTTGTTGCTTGCAAGCTTTTCTTCATACTTTATTTAAGGCATGCTATTAATATTTATGGACCTATTATTTGATGTGACCACCTAAAACCCACTTCCTACGAATAAATCTAAATACAAAGTATTAACTATTAAGTTAAACAATACCTATATCCTCGTCAAAAAACTAAAAATTCAAAACCCTTATATGTATTGACTATTAAGTTAAATCTAAAAACAAAGTATTAACTATTAAGTTAAACAACACCTATATCCTCGTCAAAAAACTAAAAATTAAAAACCCTTATATGTTTCATTATAGTTTTGGTTGACTCATTTCATTAAGTTTTAGTTGACCACTATTTTTGTTTCATTTACATACGCTTATCATGCATTAACATTTTTACACATATATATCGAACTTCAATCATCAATAATAAAAACAGTAAAAAATTAATATTTAAAAACAGATGTTAAAATGAATATAACAAGATCCACATAAGTATTGTGTTTTTTCTATAAATAAAATCGTAAAAAGAAGTTAATAATGTCTAAAGTCAATATGTGTCGATAATAAATAAACAGACGAGGTAAGACCTAAGTTAAACACAATGGAGATGAGAAGGATATACTAGTATATATGAGGGTCAATGAGAGTGAGGAATAGCATAAGTGGTTAGAGCTTCCCTCCCGATTTTAGGAGATCCCGAGATTGATTCTCACCCCCGCCCTTGTGGCTCTTTAAACACCAAAAATATATATATATATATATATATGTGAGGGCCAATGAGGCCACCTATTTTTCAAGTATTTAGGCAAGAACCCTGGGTTAATTTATATTACCAGACACCAGCTGTATATGAGCTAATTTTGCATGCATCAAAGCTGTCATAAATCATAATCGAATGCTTAAAGCTATATATGGACACAGATCTAAGATCGCTGTTCATGTAATTCTATCTAACAAATAACTGGATTTTTTCAAGGAGCATTGCTAAATGGCTAACTGCTAATAGTATAATTAATGCAAATGGGTATGGGTGCAACATAGTTCCAATGGGGTCAGAAACAAATTAAGACGCGTATTACTATTCAAGATTATTCATTTTACTTCTAAGCTATGTATGCTAATTGCTAGAAGTGATCATTGGGCGGGCCATTCGGTTCGGGCCGAGGCCAAATAATCAACCCACTCCTCAGAACGGGTTGGGGTGAGTCTATTTTTTGTGCATAAACCCGGCCAAAATGGCTGGGTTGTGCGGGCATTTTGGGCCATTTTCAGGCCGGGCAAAAAAAAAAATAAAAAAAAATAAAATAAATAAAAAAAAACTAAAAATGCATTAAGCCGCAATCCCAACCTCGTCCAAAAAAATAAATAATTCGGGGCGGGCGCAAAAGGCAGCCCAAAACCTACACAAAACGAGTCAGGGCAACTTTGATCAGGTCTAGTAGATACACGAGGTCATCTAACAAAAAGCTTAAACTTATGATTGAAGGCCAAAATTGGTTTATATACATATACTATTATGCCCCCTTATATGAGAGCTATTGGCCTTGAAATATGGATGTAGCATGGGCCTCATGCCCTCACCATAACCAACACTTAATATTTCATTTTGAAAGTAGGGATGACTGATAAGATTGGAACCTGTGACCTTTGTGCTACATTGGCTCTTGATATCATGTTAAAGAAGCATTTCAACCAAAAGTTTAAGTTTATGATTGAAGCCTAAGATCAATTTGTATACTCTATCAATAAGAATATATAAATACAAGATAGTTTCATAAATATGACAAATACGAATCGAAATTAATCAAGCCAAGTTTTGATTGATTAGTGTCCATGTCACAATCTCTCAAATTTTGTTACGAAGTATTTTGAGTTTGGGTCGAGTTACCATGTGAGTCGTGTCTGGTAGGAGGCTAAGAGATCATTAGTTTCGTTACCTCTTTAGCTTCTTTGGTGTCATTGTCTATTTATTTGTACTTGTCCAAGGGCATGTTTAGAATCTTGTACCACACTTAACGCACATTAGCATAATAATGATGTAAGTACTCGTAGTCCTTAGCAAACGACTAAACGTGCGTAGAAAGAGGAAAAGCACAAAGAAACTAACATATATATGGAATATAAAGTGATGCCCACATACTTATAAAATCCAACTTTTTGTTCGTCTTAGATCAATGCAAAACTCAAACAACCACAAAACAAAACAAAATAAAATTGAACATTATAATGTTAGTTTAAAATATAATTTATAATACTTGAAAAATGATGTTAGTTGATATGTCAACATCTTAAAGAAGAAATCAAGTTTGTGTACGCAAGTGCATGCATGTTATATAGTGTTTGTTGCTTGATTTGTGTGACTTAATTAAGCCGGTGATTGAAAGATTTTGGACTTTGCCCTTAAATTAATTACTTTGATTAATTGACAACTACTTAACTTATTTTAGTCATTCTTTGCTCCCCACATGAAACCACATGTTTAAGTGCAAGCTTAACTTAACCATCTTCCTTATTTCCTTTTAGGGAAATTCTCTTTGGTAATCACAAACTTCTTTCTTTTCTCAATGGTAGAATGTGTAACTTTTGATTATCAATGGTAATCAACAATTTGTATTACTAATCAAATGGTAACTTTAATGATATTAAACATCTTTAAATGATTAACTAGGGTTAATCTTGGTTTAATAACAATGAATTGACATTAATACCCTAAGCTTTAAATTGTTATCTTAAAAAAATTAAATCAAAACCCCTCCCCACCACCCAGTAACCAGCCTCTCCCCCCTTGCCGGCTAATGGCATCTCAATTCCCTCCCTTGCCGGAGATAAATACCTCCGACCAACCACTGCAGACGTACAATTACCCACGAAACCCCCTTCCCCTATTTCCCTTCTTTCATCCCCTTATTTCTTTCACTCTCCTCCGCGCTGCCCACTTGAATTGCCTCCGTAGAGACCACCCGAGCCACCAACCCCTCTATTTCGTCTCACAACAGCCTCCGTCGCACTCATTTCGCAGCCACAAGCTTCAATTTTACTGGGCAAAGTATGCAAAAAACAATTGGGATTTAACTT